TTCTTCCTCTCCTCCTCTTCTTCTCCCTCCTCTCTCTCTCTCTCTCTCTCCTTTACATTTTCATTTTATATCAAAGTACATCATCTTACTCTTCCCAACTCTTTTTTTACATTGTCACTGAATATGAAAAAGAAGCCGCTTGTTTGATAAAAGATTTTTTTGTAGCTTTTAAACTTTTTTTTTTTGTTAGATATGATAGGTATAATAACATGAAAAGAGAGAGAGGGGAAGGAAGAGGGAGAAAAAGAAAAAAGTGAAGGAGGAGAATGAGGGATATGATGATGGATAAGAAATGAAGTGGGTATATGTTGTAGAGGTCATCGAGGTCAATCTGTGCTAATAGTTCCTAACATTTGCTTTCATCGGGTTACAAACCATTGATCTATGATAAATTGTATGAAGTGTAAGCTAACATGAGCAAGGAAGGAAGGAAGGAAGCACTGTTTGATAGCTTTTATTTTCATGTTACTCGAAATTTCGGGGGAAGTATTGCATGTTGCTTATTGCAACTAACTTATCCAGACACATATGTGAACTTATAAGTCGGAAGTTAATGTGACAGCTAATTAAACTGATGAATTTAATGAAATATTATCGGAGAAGAAGGAATTCGTCGTAGTGATTCGCAAGATGCGGGGATTGTTTTCGGGCTTACATATATTAGCAGTTGCTTGCATCATAGTTAATGTTATCCTATCCTTGGATGTTGCTTACCTTGCACATATAGCATCGTATCATCTAGCATTTGCTGTTGCAACGATGTCATATTCCATTTTTTTTTTTTTTTGCTTTGAATTGAGACAGTTATTCCTTGTTAGCCATTGAAATGTCGTATGTCATCTGTTAAATTTAATTTAATTGATATAGGATGTTAATTTAACACTAGGATGTTAATTTAACACATAATTTAACACTTTTAGGATGATTAAATAAATATGGTTAGCTTATGAAAATACATATTACTCGCTATCGTTCACTGTTATATCTTCCTTATCGTGATGATAATTTTCATCACTTTTACTTATCAGTTAGTTATCAGTTAGCATTGACACTGCATTCTGCGATGTTTTAATTTGTACATTTTAGATTACTGTAAATATCACCTGATTTGCTTTTCTCAATTTCTCTGTAGAGGAAGAAGTGCAAAAAGATGGAGTGATTTATGGATTAGAAGAAAAGATAAAGCAGAGATTCAAAATATGAAATTTATAAGGAAGAAGATATCTCGAAAGATAAGGACATCAAGCACTTCGTGAAGATTAAAAAAAATACTTCATCAATTTGGGTTTCTAGCTTCTTAAGGCTAAAAACTCATGCGGATCTATTTTTGAATTTTAATATTGCTGTATTCCTCATCCAGGTGAAATATACTCGAAGTAGGTTTCTTGTGTAAAAAGTGAAGATATATTACTACTTCGGATAGGCTTAATAAAACCAACAAGGAAGATAGATATGAAAGTAGGAATATTTCATATTCTATCTTTTCCATTTTATGTCCTTCTTACTTTTAATTTTTTTTTTGATGTTTTAAATTGATTAAAGGTCATGCCTATGACCTTTTTCTTAGCTTCATCTTTATTCTTCAATTATAATTTCAAGAATACTGCAATTTTTTCAATGTTTTGCTTGTTAAAATCATATTCATTCAGCTATCTTCTTTTCACTTTGCTAAACAAACAAAAAAATGAAGTTATAAAATGGAATAAAATAATATAATGAAATGGTATTGGTTGGTACGGTAAGAAAGATGAGAACATTGTATACATTCTTCTGGCTATTTCTCTTTTGAACTTGATATAATTTTCAAACTCTTTCTAACTTCCTATGTATATTTTAGATTTTAAAGGAATGCTTTAATGTTTCTTTTAAAAAATTTGAAATAAGTAAACATCAATTCTTCCAATAAACCATAATATTACGCGGTAATATTACTTCCTATCAAATTTATTTTATCCATCTAATCGATAGACAATTAGAAGGAGTTAGGTAATATCATTACTAAAATATTCATTATACTTTTAGAGAATTAAATTAGTAAGGTTCAAATGTAACTCGATAATTTCGTACAATTTGTAGCAGAAAACGGATAAGCATTTATTAGCTTTTTAGTATCATGTTAATTTCTTAATTACCTATCAAGCATCTCAGATTCCTTTTTTTTTTTTTCCTTTAGGAGTAGAGGAAGGGAAGAATATAATGTTTTCAAAAATATGAAATATTTTTCCAAGGAATGGATGGATGAATAATTATTGATTATTTCATTTACTTCACGATTTTCTGTATTTTTTTTTTTTTTGCCAGATTAAGAAAGACTACATAGATTAAGGAAAGGAAGTTTGGTAATATCTTATATTCACATAATAATTTACAATTTGAAAAATCACTAAAAAAAAAAAATTCCAAAATGTATCGATGATGACCTTGACCTAATCAAAATTTTGCCTACTCCCTTTGTCGTCATTTTTTCCATTAGTTCATTTTGCTTTCTGAATTTCCCATTTTATCTATTCTTTAGATTTACTGTTAACTTATAAGGATTTAATTTTATTTGAAAATGATTATTTTCATCGAGTAAACTGTTTCTTCTTTTTACAATGGAAAATAGAATGAAAATTCCTTTTAGAATGAGAAATAATGAAAAACATTCTTTTATCGAGAAATATTCATTACGTTGATGGTGTAAGATTTAACAATGTCATAGTTGTTCTGTTCTGCACAGAAGCAAACGACATCTTTGCTTGACCTCAATTTGCAAAGGTTATTAACATTGATATGAAAGGTCTACAAACATCGTTTTTATTAAAATGCTTGTAATTTTGTTATCTGTAGGCATTCTAACCATGATTTAATGACCTCCTAAATTAGTTACTTTTTAGTAAAAGAGAATTGTCGTTGTGATGTGATGTGAACCTTTCTAGAAAGTTAATTGAATTTATCAAATTTTGACCTATTTGGTTTTCGTTCATTGTGAATTTCGAACATCCCATTCCACTATTTAATTCTTCGCTTAACTGTTCTTTTCATTTTTTTTTACTTTTTTATTTTTTGGATGGTTTTATTTGAGTGAAATTTATGTGTGAAATGACAAATGATAAAATATGTATACTTCGCCTACCTGAATTGAATTACCGGAATGTAAAAATGTATTGTATTCCTGTTCCGCTGCTGTTAATAGTAGTAAGAACAGGTTTTGAAGAACGGAGAAAAAGCGTATTTCATTTTGTATACGAAATAGACAAATAATTTTTTTTTTCAGGTTTCTCTCATTTTTTTCAATTTGATAACAAAGGATAACAAGAAAATTGATAAGAACAGAAAGAGAAGTGAAAGAGAGAAATCAACGGAGGTCAAGTGGCGAACGGTTCAAGCCTCCGCTACTATTTGTCTTTGAAATATTCAGTTCATTATTGCTGCTATATAATTACTGTTACTGAGAAATAATGTGGTCATTATTATCACCTTTACGAACTTACCATATCTTCTTTTTCTATACATTATTGCATTTATCCATCGTACAAACTACTACAGTATCGACTACCACTATCATCACTAATTCTCACTGTAATGCGGTATTTAAGCAAGCAGCTGAAATCAATGAACCGGTAAGCTTTTTTTTTTTTACAAGCTTCCTCATAGAATCATGAACAGATTCACCGGTGCATTAAATTACCAAGTGATGCGGGCTGCGAGCATTATTGTCATCGGTATATACCTTATAAATTATTTGAAAAGTTCAGTTTCTGTATTAGGAAGTTGTAGAGTTACCGTAAAATTATACGTTTTTCGTCTAGATTATTACCAGGGAGGTTTGTTCAGTTATGGTTCCTAACTTAGTTTGAGGACTGATTCAGTAGGGATCAAATGATCGTTCAATTATTTGTTAACTTAAGCATTGTTATCAGTTTAGAAATGTTCTTAACCTTCACGTTTACTTCAAGAATTTGGCTTAAGCTGAATTCTCTGATATTCAAGGCATGGGAGGGAAAAGCAAAGAGATTGAGGACATATTTCCTTAATGTTGTAATTAATTCTTAATCTATATAAACGTAATTATGAACTTCCTTGATCTCTTTCTTAGTTTTTTCTAAATAATATATGTTTTTTAGACTTTCTATTTCTACTTCATCATTCACGAAACGATGCTTTTTTTGTCCAATGAATTCTTTTTTGTAGAAGTCCGAGGATTTGTTTATTTTATTTAGCATCATTTTGGTTAAACTTACGGCGCCTTCTTTTCCCTTCTCTATTTTGTTTTTCAGAACGGATTGTTATTTTGATCCTTTATTTTGGTGTTTGAAATTGAGAGTTGGGGGTTAGATAATATCCAGAGCGACGAGATAATATCCAGAGCAAATGGTCAGATGTGGACTGTCTTCCATGCTTGTAAGATTAGCCAGTTCTCCGTTAAACTCAATTTTCGAATATTTTATCGATCCTGCTTTATATTGTATTGTCTGAATGGAAGTTATATTTAGTTTTGACTTTAGATTAATTGTGAATTTGATGGAAATAAATTCACTTCCAGTTTAATATGTCGAAAAATAAAAAGTACTACCGAAGTTTTTTGATTTGGTAGTGGCAAAACAAATTATTTTTGGATAAATATATTAGAATTCGCTAGGAAACTATAAACAATATTCTCTTTGGTGAACTTGATCGATTACGATAAAAAATTCCAATGTCCTTGGTAGCTTATGGTTTAAATCCATGAAATCGAGTTTATGAGTAAAGTGGCTAAATCGAGGATTATTTGATAGCTATCAACAAAGATGGTTTTATGAATCTTTCAAGTTGTCAGAAGGCCTAGGATACAACTATCGTGATTTTCGGTTATTTTGGATAAAAAGAAAAAATGGAAGACAGATTAGCTATAACGATACACTTGATTAGGTTAACCATACATAGACGGGGACTAAAATGGGCCCCAAAGCTGTAATTTGGTCACACAGCTAAAGATGAACCTGAAGAAAATGAAAGGATCGTATCTAATTCGCATATTAAAAAAGTAGACCACCCAGGTGTTATCTAATAACATAAATTTTTTATGTTCCGTCAATTT